ACGACATGCCTGAAGCGAATAGGAAGGAATGGGAAAGAAGCAACCCCCCAAGTAAGGACCATTTATAAGCTCATCTTAACCCGCAGCCCGTGACAACTTGCCCAACATGGATTGCGGCAGCCAAAGGTTCCAGGATGGACTGCACCACGTGGTGCCCGAAGGGGTGGCAGCACAACTCCACGGACTCCTTGCGGTCACATAAAGATGGTAGATTGGCTTCTTCGCCAACAAACATTGAAGCGGGATGTGGGCCACCCCCACAAACACCGAAATGGGCATTCACTGACCCGCTTCAAGCTTTTCCGTGAGCTGTTTGCTTGTTTTTGCCCAATTGTGCGCTCTCCATTACAATGTCTTTACTTTAGATATTCATGAAAACCCAATAAGTTCATGTTTAAAAAAAACGTATGTGCAGATTTGCATTTTCAAAATATTCATACCACAGGCAAGTTGAGGCCATCCAACTGGCTTTCTGATGCATGGTGTGTGACGCTTGTGTAATGGACTGATGGAATCTGATGGGCAAAAGTCCTCATGGACGCTGTCTTTCTGAAGAGAGTTGGAAGGGGCACGCAAGTCTTCAGATTCACCATATGATAGTGTTGTTCTTGGACTTGGGCTGACAGTGGAACGGGGGCCACTCGTCGCAGCCATGAAGATACTTCCAACAAATCGCTGCAAGATTGCGACGTAAGGCGGTGTGTGGGTGTGTCTTACAATGGTGGGGGGCCCCAAACTCGTGGTTGTCTTTTGGTTTCCCTCCCACCGCGCAAAGGGAATTTAACAAAGCCCATACATCCATATATATATATATGCATATACTGTACGGTAACGGGCGCAAGTCCTGAAGGATTTCATCCACCAGAAGCAGCGTACCCTCTTGCCTCAGGTGTCCCCATTCAAACTGTCCGGCAAGCAAAACACCATCTGATTCTTGGATGCAGGGGTGAACCGGTTGCAAGATCTTTCAATTCATGCGGTAGTTCAGGGAAACCTCTACAGGTTGACCAATTCCTGGTCCCCAAATGACCAGGCATCAGTTTTCCACCTTAGTGTTGGTGGATCCACAACCAATGCTCCCATGACATGAGTCCTTTTGATCAACCCCCATGGCTTCCGCAGCCAAAAATACGCGGCGCCCAACTTGCTTGTTCGCCGTCAACAAAGCGCTCCCCGCAAGCTAGGAACAAGCTAAGCCGAAAGGCGTGTCCCCAATTCCCCTGCTTGCAGAAGGACAACGGTAACGCATCTTTCCGTCGTGACATGGCACAGCTTCTGGGGCAAGCTTAAGCTCGACGCCAAGCGACAAGGAGCCTTCGACACCGTGAATCCCAAGAGGTCTTTCGCAAGGCTTCACGCTTGGCAAATTTGCAAAGACCCGCAGCGGCTCCATTTCGCACACGGGAAGACCGAGGTTCACGTTTTGACACATCGTTAGCAATTGAAGTGGGCCTCTCCCAAAAGTCCGCAACACGCTTGCAGCTCAGCTCCCTTGCGCAAATTTGACCAAGTTTGTTCAGTGACCCTACAAGAATTGCACCTTAGTGAGTTAGTGGTTGTGGATTCCACCGTTTGCCAACGGAAAAAAAAGCCGCTGACCTCCATTTTCCGGCCACGAAGGAAACCGTCTGAACTGGCGGACTCGCTGCCCTGGTTGACTCATATGGGGGGGCTCATCTTTTCTTATCGTTCTTGCGGCCGAGTCCAAGAGCCAACATACTTTGCCCCGTGAAACAGTGACCCACACGCCACGTTTTATCAGTTGAGCTCGATATAATTTGCCGAGACGAGCGCTAGACCAATGGATGATGGATAAGTTGCCGCGACAAGCCAACCCATTGGACCTTGTGGGAACGTTGGTACTTGCAGCTAAGGAAAAGCATCAGAGCACTCAACGCAAAGAACCCCAAGTGTTGTTTTGGTCTATCTTGCCTAATAGTGAGATTCTGCAAGGCACTTGGCACCCTTCTTGCTGCGTGTTGGAGGAATCCGCATGGCATCACAGAAAGTGGCCGTTCTGCAATGCCAAGCGCGCGCACAAATCTCACTTGCGCACGGCAGCAGCAGTGTGGCGAGTGTGTCCTGTCCACGCGCTATAAGGGCTGCAGAGATCATTGCTCACCTTGAGAGCGCGCCTCACTGTGAGGCGGCGCAGAGCACGATCCTCAGACAAAATGAGCCAGCTTGAGGCCTGTCTGAGCACTGTCTGAGGAGGGCGCACTTTGAAGGATGAAAGGTTCAGCTCATGCGCAAAGCAGCTGTCGGCAATCGCATCCTCGCAGTGATGATCTGTACATTTCCGCAAAGGGCGTGCTGGAAATGTGCGTCTGCACAAATCATGGCCGTTTCAACAATGTGACGACCGAGAACCGTATCGAACCGTTGCCGTACCGTATCGAACCGACAGCGGCGGAGCCGTGTCGCACCGAACCGAACAAAACTTCTGGAAAACCGACGCAAATCGATACTCCTCCCTCCTTCTTCCTTATTTCAGTCACACCAGCCCAAAACGAAACCTTTTCGGGCAGTCTTCCGTCGAGCTGCATTTGTTCGCGGTCTGTCTTCATGTCAAGCGGATAATCTGACCAACATCTGACGCCAGGAGAACCTGGTGTAGTCCCCCCCCTCTGCATAGTAGAAGCTGCAAGTTCAATTCTTGCTGGGCGTGCTTGCCTGCGCGAGAAAAATCGAACCTCATCGCAACAAGGAGCAATACTGGCAATGAATCGTACCGTTTCGCACCAACACTGTTTCAATTCTAGACAATATGAATTGATTCGAACCGAAAGAAAATGAATCGTATCGCTTCGAGCGCATTACACAACCATGCAAAAGCGATCTCGCTGTGCCGACGAAGTTGGGTGAACCAGCGAAGATTGACACGGCCCAGAAAATCGGATGATGGAAGCATCTTTCCTGCCTGCTAGGTTGTGGTGTGCGTTGACGCAAGGGCCGTTCCTTGGGCGCAAAGGACTGTGCCCGTCTGCGATGCGCTAATAGTACATGAGCAGAACTTTCTGCTGAAAGGCCCGGCGGCAAACATCTCCGCCGAAAACAAAAAAACGCCGAAATTCCCTGCCGAATTCCGCAGATTTCCTGCTGCCTTCTTTTGCACAGAACTTGATTTTGAAAACACGCTGCCAGGAAAACTAGAAACGCCAAGAGCAAACAGGTGCCTTCTTCCCAAACAGGCAGAAACTTCTGCCGATTTGGGTGGTTCAGGTATGTCTTGCCCAATGGCAAGTTGATGGACGGAGTAAGCTGCAGAGATGTGTGGCCACGTGTTTCATGTCATTGGTGACCTGGCGCCCTTAGACTTGCGGGTGAAGGACTTGGCCCCCAGCTGGATGAGGCTGCTCGCTTGGACCAACATAGGTTCCCTGGTAGAAGACCGGAAATTGCCGTGTTTGAAGGGCAAGCTTGCCATTCATCTCCTAGGCGTAGGCGGCTGCAGGAGCTGGCCCCGGTTGGCGCCGATCACCACGCCGAAGGGTGGCTTTTTCCCCATACCCGATTGCACGGGCCACTCCGGTGAAGAGCCCCCGTCAGCGCGATCATGACTTAACACACCCCGGTGATTTGCCGTCTGGGAAGAGCTTGGGCCAGAACTCTGCAACGCCAAAACCAAAAAACAAGGACTAGAGTATCCCTGACTCCTTGGCAAATGGGAACCTCTGGTTGAAACCAGGGAGGTGGCCACCGTTGCCAGTGACACCTTTCTATTGGACGCATTGGTCTCTACTCTCTATCCAGGGTCATAGATCATGACCTCCCGCTCACAAACCATAGCCCAGAACCCCTGCGATGGTCAACAACAACAGTAGCCTAGCGGCCATTGGCTTTCTTTTCTTGGTTTGCTCTAAAGAAACAACAAATGACAACCTGGAGCTACAAAAGACAGCCACCCCACGTTGACTTCGACCAAGCTCAAGCTTGCTCGCTCCGACCGCGGCACTGGGCATGGAACTCCAAGAGCCGGCAGAAGGCGCGGCAGCCGAAGCGGTGCTGTGACAGAGCTGCGGCGGAGCCCTGGAACTCTTCAGCCACGAAGCTGCAGGAGTTCCTGTCATTTGTCACAACTTGGTGCAAGGAATGGCTCTTTTTTGTGACAAAATCACAAACACCAAACCATCCCCGACTTGGTTTCCTTTAAGGGAACCCCAGTTCAAAAGGAAAAAAACCCACATTAAGATAGACGAACCCTGGCAGACAAAAACAAGCTTGCTGGTGCTCTCTAGGCCCGGGTTTTGGTTCCACCGAATGAGGGAATTGAGGCATGCCTAACAACGAGTAATACAGCGGTCCTCCCAGACCAAACGTCAAGAATTGGAAGTGCGGATTCCTGCACTATGTTTGGCTGGGACTGTTTCTACTAAGCTGTGACGGCTTTGCTCGTGGCTCCCGAAACGCCACCTGTGTCCAATTCCGACGGAAAAATATAACGGCACTTTCCACAATTTGGCTTGGCCATTGTTCAACCCTAACACTGGGATTTACTTCTTAACCATCAACTTATTCAATTCGACCAGTCGCTCAGATACTGGGACTTCGATTGTTTAAAAGCACACCCGAGGGAAAGCTGTACCGAGCTGAGTTGCCAAAGTAGCTGCGTCAGGATCCTCAGCCCAAGCAGACAAAACGGGGCACCTCTTGTGGGGTTGAAAAGGGAACTTCGTTGGAAAAGAGGACTACAAAAAAAAACAGAAACCGTTTTTGAAGACAGGTATGGATCTTTTGCACCACGTAGTTGGCATGGGGGGACGCCATGGCCTCCTGCACGTGGCCCTTGAGCTCAGAGCCCAGCTCGCTGGCCTGGCGTTGCTTCGCGTTCTCCAGGGCCAGTTGCACCAAGCGGCAGCCCGTGGGGTGGCAGGACAGGTCCCAAACGTGGCCCTTCAACACCTGGCGAAAAAATGTTGATGCCGCATTTGCGTCGGTGGCATGGATCCCCGAGGGATTCTTGTAAACCTAGAGGAAGCCTTACAAGGAATACTGCGAACCAGTAAACCAACCCAAACATGACCAATTTGCTGGGCGAGCGGCTTCCAAAGCCGCTGTCACCTCCTGTTGGTCTCCACGAAGCTGCTCCTGGAGCTTTTGCTCGGAATGCTGCGCAAAGAAGTCCGAGACCGGATTGCACACCAGGCCCGCCGCAACGGGACCTGCCGCCCACCATCCTCACGCTCGCGGATCGGGCCCCTGGGGCCCACTCGTGACGGTGGAGGCTGCTCAAACCAAAACGGACCTCTCCAGAAGGCAAACCCCGGGATGAGACACGCTTCAGGCTGCAGGGTCCGGGTTGGCTCCCGAAAAAGTACAACCAAACCAAACACACGAACCAGCTCGGTCTATGATGTTGCTGCAGGATCCATTGATGCACACATGTTTGCTCGAGCTTTCGTGGCAAATAAGTGCGCGAGCAAAATGCAAACACATGCAAGCACACGGATTGCAGGGCAAAGCTTTGGCTTTGCACACTTCCGGGTTGCGGAAAATTGCGACCGAGCAGCGGGAACTTGCGCTGAGTTGCGGGTTCGTTTTCTCTCGAGCACTTCACCAAAACAGCTAGGCAACCTCAAAAAGTGCTTCGAATTGGATTTGAGCAGAAAAAGCGCTCGAATGTCAAAAACTGTCCGGAGCATTTTCTGTGTCCTCCAGGTTCTCTGATTTTGGGGTCGGGGTATCAAACTCCGAAGCAGCATGTCTTTCCCACACCACTTACCACTTGGGAAGGTGACCTGATAATAAAGAATGAATGGGGTCAAAAAAGTTCTCGACCGTCCTCCCCAAATCAGTGCCCTCCCAACCCCAGATTCTCTAGCAAATGACATGATTTTTCCAGTCCCTCAAAAAACAACCTTGCGACCAGTGCCAAATAACCCCAAATGCGGCAGTTGCAACATTCAGCGTGCTCCCTAGGGACCCTCTTGCAAGCCCCAGGCGCCGGCGCCCGTGCTGTTCTGCGCCGCCCGCTGCGCTGCCCGCTGGCGCCGCAAGCGCCGGGCGGCCGAGGTCGTGAGAGTCACCTCCGGCTCTGTTGGTTCGTCCTGCCGATGTTCGGGATGCCCGAAACAGGGCAAGGGAACCAATCATCTGTCTGATCGGGTGAGTTGATGGCTGAAGGCTTAAAACGGGGATTTCTTGTCATTTCCCGAAGGGCTCCTCTGAAAGGCAAGGGGAACCTGAATTGAGAACCTGAAAAAACTTAGACAACACCATGACCCTCCCACCAACAAACCTCGGTAATCGCTCGCTTTCCTGTACTTCATCATCGCTGGTGCTTGGCGTTCCAGTGCAGGGAGTGCCGGGCATTGGGCTGACCTTGTTGCCTCAACCGAAACTTGCGACTTCTCAATACGGTTGTGGGAATGCCCCCGAAGTGCAGCATCTCGCTGGTCTGGGTAGTAAAAAACAAAAGCTTCTCGGCATCGCGTCCAAATAGGACAATAAACACAAGGGGTTGTGGGAATGAAGGTCCAGATCCACCCAACATGTTTCTCTTCAGGGACGCTAAGCGTTCAGGTTGTCTTAGTAGCCAACTCTGCGATGCCAATGTGGTTGAGTCCTGTTGCCCTGGCTACTCTATCACCATCAGAAGGCATTTCTTGGCATCGGAAAACCCTCCACCTGCCCGCAGTTTCTCTCCCGCTCAATCATAAGACTGAACCATAGCGAACACCGCACCAGTGGTGCATACACGCACGAGTTCAACATTCAGCCCTGGCCAGTGAGCACCAACTGAGCCATTCAACTTGTGGTGTCTTCAAGGGAACCCCAGGTGCATTCCACAAAATCTCTGCTGACTCCCTGAGAACCAGCAAGGAAAAACAGAGCCCGCAAAAGAGACAAACACTCAAAGTCTCAATTTCGCTTTCCAACCTGAGTTAACCACTATCAAAAGCAGGGTGGTGGCTCTCGCCAGGGAACTGCAAGCTTCGAACTGCCAGGGTGATTCAACCGCTTACAAGGCTTATACATGCGAATTGAAAAGCCTTAAGACCAGCATATTTCGCGCACTCTATTTGTTGCGCCCAGTTGCCCATCATGCAGGGCAGCTGGTGCATGTGCTGAGGCCCCGCCAGAAACATGGCGATCACACACTGCTGGCCCGGCATCTGCGGCAACGGCGCCTGGACTTCAACGAAACTCATCTGGTTCATCCTCAGCGGACAACTTGAGTGGGACGGGTCTGTACAAGTTGGAACAAAAACATCATACCCGGTGGCGCTCTCAAAGAAACTCAACTAATTCAACACTACGTGGTACTCTACCATAACAAGGAGGGGGTCCTGGGGCTCATCCAATTCTATTTTTCATATTTCTCAGGGAGGGCAGGGTCACAACATATCGCAACACAAAAGCTTGACCGATCTGGGCCCACATCTAGAACAACACCCCACCGCCGAACAAATGACTTGGGCAGAGCAGCTGCATCTGGGGCATCTGCTGGTTCATCTGACGCATCTTTGGGCAGTTCAGCTGGTTCTGATGCATCTGCATCTGCATTGGCACGCCAATAGGCACCATCTTTACCGCGTTCCTAGCGATGAGTTGTCTCCGGGCTGCAAACGCTGCACATGGTCCTGCAATGCTGACGGCGACTGCAAACAGCTCGAAGCCCAAGAGGCCTGGGATCTGTTCAGGCGAGCCCGCACATATGTCGCAATGAGCGCGCCGTGCACTGTCTGGGATCAAGTGTACATGTTGTGGGCTCCCAAAGTACTATGAGAGGGTGGCTTCCCTTTGAACCACCATTCAGCTTTCTGCTTCTTTTCGTGTCCACAGGCGGGTCTTTGGGTCCCTTACCTGGTTCTGCTTACTGCCGGCTGGACGTCATCTCAGTGACACGTGATCAACAGGGCTTGCCTGCGCCAACAGTGCTTTGCACAAAGTGCTTGCTACAGTTTCACCACGACCAGTGAGCTCGAGCTGTTGAGTCTCCTGGATTTGGGTGCGGTTGCCGGGCGGATCCCGATGTAACGCTCACTTCCCATCAGCCAAACTCAGTCTTGAATGTCTTGACTTGTTGCTTACCATCGAAACGGCATTGTCCAGAACCAAAATAAAAACCAACGGATTTTTGGGAAGTGAGAACAGGTTTATGCCTGAGCCTGGAATCTCCGGTCTGTACCAGCATGGTGCAACGCAGCATCATGTGCGAAAAATGGTTGTACAGCACGTTGCCGCGGCGCGCTCTGCAACGCGCAGATCAAACAAATAACCGCTGTCAAAAATTTGGCTGAACCCCCAAGGGAATGCTAGCTTGCAAGATAAGAACGGCGCATGTTTAGCCTCTCGCAAACGAACAACTGCTCAAGCCAAAAAAGAACGGAGTGTCGCCTGGCCATAACGGCACTCGGCGATGGCCTCGGATTATATGTATACTTCTGCAAGACCGAACTTGACGCATGAGCCCAAGCAAAGCGCCTGGAGCCCAAAGAGTGTCCGTCGTCCATCCTAAAAACACAGAACAACAGTATAGTCGTCTAGTAAGTCTAAGCATCCGTTGAAGCAATCACAAAGGAACCACTGATGACACAATATGACATGCCAGGAACGATCCAAGAGCGCATGTGCCAAAGCACGGGTGGCTGGGCAACGCTGAGGAGCGCTTTGTATTGGCGACTTCTCTCCAAACTCAGGGCCCATGCTGCTGAGATGGCTGCAACTCTTGCAAATGACGCAAGGTTGCCATTTCAGGTGCCATGAGTTTGACAAAGTCGTGAGAGAAAGGCATATTTCACCCAACAAGTTGGTGAGGCACATACCCTCCCACACACTACCCACTAACACGAAACTTGACTTGTCTGGCCTCTGCAAAAACAACCGTGAGTTGGTTGGAGGGTATCTGCCAGCGCAAGCATGCCTCACATGCTCGCAGGAAATTGCTGGAATTTGCGGGGAAAACCCCCCAACTTAGTTCGATGGCTTCTTGGGAAAGCGCCTCACAAAGCCCAGGTCGGCCATCAGAAGTTGCCCATGCCTCATGATTCAACAGACACCCTGCCACCGGAAACCACAAGATTGGACAGAGATTCGTCCAAATGAAACTAGCCATGCTAAAACACCGACAGATTTCTGCAATGTGCGATAACAACTTGCCTTCGCCAACGCCTACGCTCGGCGCACGCTTGCACACAATCAGCTTACGTGCGAAGGCGTTTATGCCAGAGCTTGCGCGCAGCTTACGCAAGCCGTGCTTAGCAATTGTACGCCACCTTATGCGATGCCTTTCTGGCCCGAACCTAGCGTTCAAAGTGGGGAGTAGTGCACTTTGGAGGCTCCGGCTCGCAAATCGCACCTGTTCAACACAGGCGTAGTACGCGAAGTACACTACCTCCAAATGGCCAGCACTGTGATACAGAGCATGGGGTTTCGAGCCCGCTCGGCCTCAAAGGGTGCAACTGTTTTAGCACAAGTCGCTTACGCTCAGCAAGGATCTCTTCACAACTGCGTGGGCGCGCGCATGTTTAGCTTACGCGTGCCTCTTATAAATTGCAAGGCCTTTACACTCATAAAAAGAAGGGCTTTTAGCGCCATTGAACTGCCGGACTACGGCCCTGGTTTGGGGTGTCGCCCAACGACGAAGAGGCCCAACACATCGTTCAAGGCCGTTCTCGCAACAGCTTCAACACGTGAGGAAAAGCACGATGAGTGCCTTTGTCTTGGTCGCGTTTCCGGAAGTCCCCCCAACTAAAGGGAAAAAGGCCCCCAATTGCATCTTCCTTCGCGAAATAAGGGCCAAGACATTCGCGAGGCCACCCCTTTCCCCAATATGGGTGTTTGTTTCGAGGAAATCCATTTTTGGGTTTAAATGGGAAACCAAAAGAAACCTAAATAATCCTAAATACTTTGTAGGGAACCCATTTTCTTCAGGGACCAGGACTTTGTCTCAGCTCGGTGCTTGGTCTTCCTCAGCTCGGGCAGGCACATGCGGATCTCCTCCAAGGCAGTTGCCCGGTGGGTCCTGGGGTGCTCCACCACGGCCCTGGCAACGTAGCACCCGAAGCGGGACACGGCCAGGTGCGCCAGGAATGGCCGCAGCGCCGCAAGCAGGGCCTCCTGATAGGCAGGTGAAGACGCGCACAGCACCTGGCGCAAAGACCATGTCAAGAAAAATGTTTTTCTGAGCACGTGTCGCAAACAGCCCACGTCTTTTTGAACATTGTGTGCCCTAGCAATGGGCAACTGTCCGGCGTTGCCTTCTCCACCAGGTAGCTGGCGTTCTGGTCTTTTGCGAAGGCCAGCACATCTGATCCGATGACATGCGCCACCACATCGCAATGCTGCTCGAAGCCGTGTTCCTGGGAATGAGCTATTTAGAGGCCAAGAAAGCTTCACTTGGCGGGTCACTAGAACTGACACCATCGTTCTGCCTAGCAACCCCACGCGTTGCAAGCTAAGAACTTAGCATAGGCCCAGCACAAAACAAACGGCAGCACAAGCTTCCAGAATGCTCTGCACCACGTGATGGCCGAAGGGGTGGCAGCACAAATCTGCTGCCTCCTGTGGGGCGATCCAGCTAGTCAAACGCTATCCAACGGCTGTTTCCTGTTCGTAACACGCTCAACCAAAAGTAGAATTAGAAGCTCAAAAAACATGGTTCTCACCCAATTGAAAGGGGAAGTTCTAAAGAACATTTCCTACCAAGCATATGGCGCGTCGCCAACTAGACTTTCCCGATTAAAAAACCACCACAAAAAAACTAGACCACGGTTGGCCCGAAAGCATAACATCGCAAGCGAGGTCGGCCCAACGCTGCAGGATGCGTTCTTTTTCCCTACAGGAAGCATTCGTGAAGCAAGCGCGAGACAGCACCAGGCAAGGTGCTCTGCGCAAACTGGTCGGTGCAAGTTGGTCTGCGCAAGTTGCTCTGTGCAACTTGCTCTGCGCAAGTTGCTCTGCGCAAGTTGCTTTATTAATTTATGCAAGTTGCATCTTGCGACGCCCGTCCGCGGACCAGGGAGGAATCGAACCCGCGACCCGCTGGTCCCGGGAACCGCGAGACAACTCCCGAGGACCAGATCGAACACAAGCCGCAAAAAATCTCGAGTTTTTGCACCTTGACGCAGAAATCGGAAAAAAAACCTCGAGTTTTTCTACCTCGACCATGCCGGTCCCCGCAAAGTGTCGCGCGAGCCCAAACAAAATCACAAAAAAAACCTCGAGTTTTTGCACCTCGACCACGCCGATCCCCGCAGAGGGTCGCGCGAGCACCGCAGAAATCGCAAAAAAAAACAAGGAGTTTTTGCACCTCGACCACGCCGATCCCCGCAGAGGGTCGCGCGAGCCCAAACAAAATCGCAAGAAACCTCGAGTTTTTGCACCTCGACCACGCCGATCCCCACAGAGGGCCGATTTTCGTGTGGTGTCGTCGGCACTACCCCGCCGCCCTAAGAAGAGATTTTATCTCGTCGCAAGTCAATTGCACTTGACTCCTTGCACTTGCAACTTGCACTTGACTCCTTGCACTTGCAACTTGCACTTGACTCCACGCACTTGCAACTTGCACTTGACTCCTTGCACTTGCAACTTGCACTTGACTCCTTGCACTTGCAACTTGCACTTGACTCCATGCACTTGCAACTTGCACTTGACTCCATGCACTTGGCTCCTGGCACTTGGCTCCTTGCGCTTGGCTCCTTGCGCTTGCAACTTGCACTTAACTCCGTGCACTTGCAACTTGCACTTGACTCCATGCACTTGGCTCCTTGCAACTTGCAGTGACTCTCATGACTCCTTGCAATGACTCCTTGCAATGACTCCTTGCAATGACTCCTTGCCATGACTCCTTGCAATGACTCCTTACAATGACTCCTTGCAATCACTCCTTGCAATGACTCCTTGCAATGCATCCTTGCAATGACTCCTTGCAATGACTCCTCGCAATGACTTTCATGATGATGATTCCTTGCAATGACACCTTGTAATGACTTTCATGAGAACAAATCAAGTGAACCCAGCGGAAGAACCCTTCGCCATGCTTTCAGGAAAAACAAGGAGAGCCGGGGAACGCAAACACCAAGATGCAAACAAATATTTGTGAACGACTGTCAGCGAAGAACATTCTGGTTTGTGTTTTTGGGCTATAAGGTGGTTCGGAGGGGACGGCGGCCTGCGCGCCCGCGCGCGCCACGCGCGCGCCTTTCCATGTGATGTTGAGCACATCGAAAGGCGCGCAAGCGCGCTCGAACAGGCTTGCGCGATCTTGCGGCCTCCGCCAAAAGCGCACCAATGGGTGCACACTCCGCCACCATCACCTCCATCCTTGCCGCCTCCGCCAAGCCAAATCCCACCGGCACACGGATGACCCCAGCTCATTCTCGCTGCTTTCCTGCAGCCAAATCCCACCATCCCACCAGCACACGGACGACCGCGCCTCGTCATCGCTGGACCAAATCCCACCGGCACGCGGCCTCCAGCACCTCCCGTCACCTCGGCGCTGGTTGCATCCGCAGAAGCAAATCCCACCGGCACACGCCGCTGTCACCTCCATCCTT